TTGTCTCAGACTGGTATAATGTAAGTCAATTTGGACAATATTGTTTATCATATAGTAAATTTGTAAGTCAGAACTAACGAAAGAAGTACCTTGTCTCAGACTGGTATAATGTAAATCAATTTGAACAATATTGTTTATCATATAGTAAATTTGTAAGTCAGTACTAACGAAAGAAGTACGTTGTCTCAGACTGGTATAATGTAAGTCAATTGGGACAATATTGTTTATTTTCAGTTTGTTTGTTTTGTTTTCTATTAATTGAAGAGAGACAACAAGTTGTAGTGTGTCTTGTTTAAATATGTACCCTTTTAAATTACAAAACATATCTTAATTTAATCATTCCTTTATCTGAATTGTTACATATATTGTATATGTCTAATTACGTTTTTTACAAGTACAGTATAAAGTGAGTAAATCAAACTTGATTTACTTGACACTCAATTGTTACATATATTGTATATGTCTAATTAAGTTTTTTACAAGTACAGTATAAAGTGAGTAAATCAAACTTGATTTACTTTACCCTCAATAAAATCTTACTGTAGAAGATCCACCCTGCGGCTAAGCGGTACGTCTGAGGGCTTACAGCACTAAACATCAGTGTGTAGCTTCGTTCTTTAACAACAATCAAACCATTATAAGAAAACATATAAACAAATGTGATAAATTAATTCACTATCTAATACCGAGAATTTACATTTTAGATTCAGGAATTCGTTTCATGTGGTTCAGTGAAAAATGTTTCAGGTATTTCTTCCATAGCAGCAACATCTGTTAAAAATGAAGGAATTCACAATAACTTTATACAGATTAACATGTTACACGTATTAGCATGTTTATTAGCTTGTAGAATCAGTATAATAAATAACATTTAAGAATAAATGTAAATTATTTTCTGTTTGCAATTTTCGTGAAAATTTATATCTTACGCAAACAGCGTGCACAAAATAACGTAAAAGATACTTTATCAAAAAGACATTTCCTCAATTAGCATCGCATTGACTCTAGATAACTGCAAACAGTATTACACCAATAGATACGTATAAGACTCGAGTAATTAAATATGTATAAGCTAATGCAGTGAGAAGAATGAAAACTGCTCATGATTGAACTGTACAGTTTTCACCCCCCTCTACTAACATTAGCAAATCTTAAATGTGGCATCAACACAACACGAATTATGTGAAAACAAATGTTTACGAAATAACTTCTAAATCTAAAACTAATCTAAAATAATAAATAGTTTTAAAATAAAATCAACTTATACAATATCATCTGCAGGATGTATAATTAGTAAGACACTTACTTACTTAATTTATCTGTATAGTTATAGATTTATTATTATTTGATAAAAAAAGCTTAGCCTACAGTGTCTATTTAGGTGCTTAATGACATTGTTCAATTATGTTTTGGAGAGAGTAAGAGGAATGTAAACAGCATAATATCAAAATAAAAATATATTGTTTTACAGCTAATGTGTAATTTAACTACGCATGTCAAAATCTGAAAACAAAATCCATCTCGTAGCGTTTCATGGTTTTGCAGAAGACTGAGGAATTATGAACTTCTTACTCGATGATGCCAACAGTATTACTGTTAGTAAATATTTAAGTATTTTTTACTCTTACTTCCCACTAGACGTTAACGGTTCAGCTTATTGAGGACAATTTTGCTTTTACATTGAGCTTTAAAATTATTTGCTTAATAAGAACGTTTGAACACAAGCAAGTAAAGTATATAGATCCAAACTACAAACGTATCTTATAAACAAGTAAACTATATAGATCCAAAGTACAAACGTATCTTAAAACAAGTAAACTATATAGATCCAAACTACAAACGTATCTTATAACCAAGTAAACTATATAGATACAAACTACAAACGTATCTTATAAACAAGTAAACTATATAGATCCAAAGTACAAACGTATCTTAAAACAAGTAAACTATATAGATCCAAACTACAAACGTATCTTATAAACAAGTAAACTATATAGATACAAACTACAAACGTATCTTAAAACAAGTAAACTATATAGATCCAAACTACAAACGTATCTTAAAACAAGTAAACTATATAGATCCAAACTACAAACGTATCTTATAAACAAGTAAACTATATAGATCCAAACTACAAACCTATCTTATAAAAAAGTAAACTTTATAGATCCAAACTACAAACGTATCTTAAAACAAGTAAACTATATAGATCCAAACTGCAAACGTATCTTATAAACATATAAAACCAATTCTGCACAGCAAGCTAAATAAAAGTACATAATGTCATAAACCAGTACATAAGAAATCGAAATTCAGTAATGATTACAATGCACTGAACCATCAATTGGGTGCACTCAATACCGAGTGTCAATTGAAAATTACGATTTTTAAAATTTTTTTGCAGGTCTTAACCCTCTTTTAGAAATCGGTCTGAGGATAACTGAGAATTGAAAAATGTTCCAAGTATTGCAGGGGATATAATAATAGGACGAAATAATTGAAATAAAAAACGTGGTTACAATGATATTCTTTATGATATTCTTTGTCTATGAGATGAGAAGAGTACACAGGTGATCTAAGAAGAAACCAATTAAACCTAAATCCTTATCGTTTATAATATTCATATATATAATATTTTATCTATTTATAATTATTATGTTGCTGATATTTTTACAATTACATAGCATTAAGTGTAACGAATTTGTTATTATATATTTATTTTAATGTCAACGTTTGTTTAGATTAAATGTATATTTAGAAACATACATAACTTATACTGTTAAATATGTTTGCAAAACTCCGTCTATTCTCCAAAGTTGTAGAAGATTCTCGAGAGTAAGAATCAACAATATATGTGTGTACGTAAACGCTTAAATTTGTATTGTTACATATTCTGAATTTTGCTAGAAAGTCTCTGCAGCCTATAAATATAACCAACTCGACGCGCCAAAAGAGAGTATGTTATAGCTTTCGAAGTTTATAGCACACCGACTATAGCGAACTACTAATAGAATTCACTGATGAGAATCCACTCACGTTAAATGAGTTGTAATGTTCGAACTTTGTAAATGTTTCTGGTCAAATATCTGAAATTTTCCGATTGATAAGCGTTATAACAATCACACCATTTTTACGAAAACATTACATAACGTCACGGTGGAAAATCCGGTGTGTGTGTGGCTGGTAGATAACGGAGGACAAAGCTAGCTAGCTTCCCGTCAAGTGAATTATACCTGCGTGAACTCGTAATCAACCCGCTCATCGTGAACCCTCGATAAGAGGTCTTTGAATTTAAAGCGGAAAAAAAGAAGTAAAATATGAGTAAGTTAACTGGTAGCCTCTAGGTACTGATAGAACAAAATGGTAAGTAGAGCTACCAACGTAAGTTAACTAATAGTGCCTACCTAGACTTTAGGTACTGATAGAACAAAACAGAAGGTAGAGCTACCAAAGTAAGTTAATTGGTAGTGCCTAACGTTTAGGTACTGATAGAATAAAACGGCAGGTAGAGCTACCAAATAAGTTAACTGGTAGTGCCTAGCGTTTAGGTACTGATAGAATAAAACAGAAGATAGAGCTACCAAAGTAAGTTAATTGGTAGTGCCTACCTAGACTTAAGGTACTGATAGAACAAAACAGCAGGTAGAGCTACCAAAGTAAGTTAACTGGTAGTGCCTAACGTTTAGGTACTGATAGAATAAAACAGCAGGTAGAGCTACCAAAGTAAGTTAACTGGTAGTGCCTAGCGTTTAGGTATTGATAGAACAAAACGCTGAATTTATTCAACAAAATAACATCACTGTATAAAACAGAACAATGGAATATAAACCAATCTATTATTCTTTTACAATGATTCAATTGTATTGCATTCATGTATCGACGTTGTTGGTTTCTATTTCTACAAAATTCATGCTGCCGAGCCAGCTTTTTCATAAACAGTTGCGATTCAACAATAACCAAACCTGTGAATACTGTATCTATTTAGAAGATCTAATTAAACTATTTATAAGCTTTTACTTCTCATAGTCAGGCCTAGCAGCATTCTATAGAGATATTTATTTCATTATATAAACATAAAATTCTAACGTTAAGTTCAAACCTGTATTTTATTTGCTTATTTGTATTAAGCAAATTAAACATATTTCCTTTTTTTCATTTTCTCGACGTTTCGCCATGTCAACTAATGAATCAGCTCTTTCAATTCTCATTTTATGTATGTACGTGTAAATTCTAGGTTTTTAATACCTTATCATAATTTATAACTTTAACGTTCATTTCACGCGAAACTTATTTCATATCCGAAGAAACTAGCAAAAAATAGTAATTGAATAAACGATAAAGTGACAAATATTTTCAATAACAATATTTAATTTTAAACCTATCACTTTTATACGTATTTATATTATGAAAAATTAGACTTATCTCCAGTAAATAATTTTTAATTTGTTCGACGTTTTGCCATGTCGGCTTCTTGAGAAAAATGCGTCTTTTTTTTATAGTAACGTCTGAGGAATGACTATATAATGTTTACAACCTTTCAAATCCAAAAGAATGCATATTTATATATCGACGGCTAAGTGCAAAATATTATCTATGAAAACAGACCTGTATACTGAATCCTAAATAAGTAGAATGCAATTACACTAGCTAGAATCCCTCTTAAGGACGAAACAAAAAATAAAGCTTTTTCAAACAATGTGAAAATAAGAACAAATATTTGCACAATATACTTTGTTGTGAAATAGTAAATCACATTATAATTGTTCAAATGATACTAGACATCTTGGCTGAATGCTGGATAATTTATTTTCTCGTCGTTCAAAGACGTTTTGCTAGAATTTCAATTTCAATTACACATATGCTATTCTGTAATCAGTATCATGCATGAATTGAAACTATAAACTTTAACGTCAAATCAATATATTTCATATTTGAGAATAGGTGTACTATATTACAGAAATATAAAACAAATGAAAAACGTAAGTCAACAACATACGTACCTTATATGATTCCTTTTATTTGGTGGGCTGAGAATAAGGTTTGAATTGTAATTGCAGTTAAGTTTTTAATCTTTTAGTGTTTCTTCTTCTCTGTACTGTATTTGATAACAGAAATGAACCAGGCTTCACACAAGAGCTTTCTTGATGGCTGAGATACTGCTTCTATGAGAATCGCCACTTGAATCAGTATCTTTTTCATACTTACCCGTGCGGTTCTCTTGTAGACATGCGCGGACTTCGTTCTATTGTAGTCGTTGTTGTCGGATCTCTTGCCAGTATTTTCGACGTTAAAAGGACAAAGGTTAGAATAATTTACCATAATAAGCTTTATACGATATTTCGTTAATTTGAAACATCTAGAACAGAACATCCTCAAGCTATAGATTACGGAATAAATTTTTCAATTTAGAAATATTACAAGATATAAGAGCCTTCTTCAAAAAATAATTCGAATAATATAGATTCACAATATTTTTAATTTGTTTGTCTTTGTTAAATACGTTTTTTGAAATTATCGATTGTGATTAAAATTACTTTTGTTCTTCTGAAATCGAAGTAACTGACACTCAATATAAATGGGTAATCTTTTTAGAAGCCGGTATTATAAACATCAATCTCAACAAATTTACAAAGTGTCTTTGTTGAGATTGATGTTTATTATCATATTTACAAAGTGTCTTTGTTGAGATTGATGTTTATTATCATATTTACAAAGTGTCTTTGTTGAGATTGATGTTTATTATCATATTTACAAAGTGTCTATGATAATAAACATCAATCTAAAAAAAAAGACACTTTGTAAATATGATAATAAACATCAATCTCAATCAAATACGCGCCAAACAAAAACCATATTAAAACATATTATATTGCTAGCTGGAGTACCCGTCCCCGGAACGGAAGTTTTGTAAATTCATGATTAATGAAAGGTTATCTTAGGACATGAAAAATT